CCCTCTGCCCCCCCCAGCCTCTGCCTCTGCCTCTGGGATTAAAGGCGTGGGCCACCAACGCCCAGCTGTTCCCCTTTCTTATCTCCTCTTCCATTCCCTCTTCCTTGCCTTCAGGCTCCTTTCTCCTTCCCTGTTAAAATAAGTATGTGATTGATATATATCCAGAGCTGGGCGGTGGTTTGCGAGCCTTTAATCCCACCACTTGGGAGGCAGAGACAGGTGATCTATCTGAGTTCGAGACCAACCTGGTATACAGATCAAGTTACAAGACAGGCTCCAAAGCTAGACAGAGGAACCCTGTCTCAGAAAAAAAAAAATTAAATTCAAATGCTGCATATGAGAACATGTCATATTTGTCTTTCTGAGTCTGGTTTATTCTGCAAATATTTCATTCTTCACAGCTGAAAGGTTCCACTGTGTATACCATATCTTCTTTATCCATTCATCTGTTTATGAACATCTAGGTTTATTCCACAATTTAGCTGTTGTGAAAATGCAGCTAAATGGCTGTAACTAGGCAGGTTGATGGCTTCAGGTGACTTTTGTATATTGCTTTCTGCTGACCTAAAGAAAACCTACACAGGATTCTAGATTACTCCCAGCTAGCAGGCTTGGGCACCCTTATTTGTTGTTGAAGATGTAGTTTTAGATCTGGTCTCTTGCATCACAGGCTGCCTTCCAACTCACGGAATAGCTGAGGATGACCTTACACTACAGATCCTCCTGTCTCTACCTCCAGTGCTGGCATTTCAGGTGTGCATCACCACTCCCACTTTATGGAGTGCTGGAGGTTGGGCTGCAGGCCTTTGGACTTGTTGAGAAAGTACCCTACCAATTAAACTACATCTTTGGCCTCTTTTTCTTTTAACCAGAAGCTCAGGGTGCTAGGTTCAGACTCCTCAACACTGACCAATACTGGATACCATTCCCTCGCCCCCTTCTCTACTTCAGTTCTTTGTTTTTGAGAAAGGTACTTAAGTAGCCTAGAAGAGCTTTAAATTCACTTCTAGAACCATCTCCCGAGGGCTGGGCATGCACCACCGTTGTCTTATTTTATTCGTCTTTGGGAATCAAACTGAGGGCTTCGTGCATACCAGGCTAGCACTCTACCATCTGAGCTGTGCTCCCAGCCACATTCTATTCCAAGCTGTATCCTGCCTAACTGCTTGCTGCAGCAGACATGTGATTAATACTGTTAACTTGACAGGCTCGGTAATTAGCTAGGAGACAAGCCTCTGGGCACGCCTGTGAGGGATTACCTAGATTAGGTTAATTGAGGTGGGAAGACCCACCTTAATTGTGGGTGGCACCATTCCATGGGCCGGGGGTTTGACTGAAGTCAAAGAACATGAGTTGAGCACCAGTATTCATCACTCTCTCTTGACTGTGAACACGTGACTAGCAGCCTCATACTGCAGCTCCCGTGCCTTCCCTATCATGATGAACTTCCCTTCCAACTAAAAGCTGAAACAAACCCTTGCCTAAGTTTCCATGGTCATACAATTTGTCCAGCAATTAGGAAAGCAACTAAAACAGCTTGTCTATTTCCATTAGTGCCCTGATGCAATCAAACTGAAGACAGCCAGACTCTCTTTTAAAATCTAAGTCAGGTCACAGTCCCCTACAAAACATTCAATACTTTCCCATCCCATACTAAAAATCAAAATTATCAGAACTGGATAGATGGCTCAGCAGTTAGGAGCACTAACTGCTCTTCCAGAGGATTCAGGTTCAAATCCCAACACTCAACATGGTGGCTAACAAAATCCAGTTCCAGGAGATGATGCCCTCTTCTGGCTCTTTTGGCTTTGCACAAAAGTGGTACACTAAGTGCAGGGGTGGGTGCACACCTTTAGTTCCTGCACTGGAGAGGCAGAGGCAGGTGAATCTCTGTGAGTTTGAGGCCAGTCTGCTCTATAGATCGAGTTCCAGGCCAGCCAGGGTTACCCAGAGAAACTGATGGGGGACATCCTCCTGTATATATGTTTCTCTTACTGGTTGATGAGTAAAACTAAACTGATTGGTCAGTAGCTAAGCTGGCTTTGAGTGCCTGAGTGCCTCTGCCTCCTGAGTGCCGAGATTAAAGGCGCTACCACACCTGGCTCTGCTTTTATTTTTAAAAGAAGATGCCTCACAGGTTGAGTGTGGTGGCCCATACATGTAATCCCAGCACTTGAGACACGGAGGCAGGAGGATCAGTAGGAGGACCCTGTGTGAAAAACAAGGAGAAAGAAGGCAGGGAGGGGCTTAAGTGATCTTCCAGTGTCAGCCTCCAAAGCCTGAGTACCGATGCACACTCCTGCATCCAGTCTGCATTACTCTTTCATAACATGTCTTACTTTG